TTCTTCTTCTTCTTCTTCTTCTTCTTCTTCTTCTTCTTCTTCTTCTTCTTCTTGTCCCAGGTCTGAAATACACAAAGACAATCATCGCTCTCCACTCATTTCTTTGCTCAGGTGGTCTCAAAATTTTGTACTATCGTTCTCTTTTCCCACTGCCTGTTTGAAGTTCCTTGGGGTAGCTTCCTTATTCTTGATCTTCCTCCTCCTATTTTACCTTCTGTTTTTTCAGTGAGAGCCGAATGTTCAAGGTCATTATGTCGACCCAATTGTCCTACGAACTTCAGTTGCCTCTTCTTAATTGTATGGGCAAATGAATCCAAGCAGGAAAAATATGAAAGTAACCAAGTAGATACAGTGGAAATCTGATATAACAAGGATGGTGAGAGTAGAGAAAAAATCCTGTTATATCCGATCCCTGTTAAATCAGAAATGCAAGGAAAGTAAGCATTTGTGGACTAATCCAGCTGTACTTATTCATGGGTAGTTTCCCTTGCCACAAGTACCAAAGAACAGGGGTTTTGGCCACCGTCTCCTTGCCTCCTTAAACCACATCAGAAGAGCATCATGTAGTCTCATCTTCTTTTGATCCTGAGCAAATTTTCCATTGGAGTATGCTGCCACTATCTTCTCTTTATTCTCGATAATGGTGAGAATCGACCCTCGTGGAATGTCAAACTGACGACCAGTCTCTGCCAGGGGAGCTTGCTTTTTGTCAACAGTCTGGATTATTTCGTATTTTTGGTCAATTGAAAGGCAATTTCTCTTGCGCTTGACATCGTTGGTGACCATAATGAAAGAAGTAGGCTTAGATCTAGGCCGACTGATCGTCCTCTCTCTCTCTCTCTCTCTCTCTCTCTCTCTCTCTCTCTCTCTCTCTCTCTCTCTCTCTCTCTCTCTCTCTCTGTCTCTCTGTCTCTCTCTCTGTCTCTCTGTCTGTCTCTCTGTCTCTCTCTCTCTCTCTGTCTCTCTCTATCTCTCTCTCTGTCTCCCTCTCTGTGTCTGTCTGTCTGTCTGTCTCTGTCTCTGTCTCTCTCTCTCTCTCTCTCTCTCTCTCTCTCTCTCTCTCTCTCTCTCTCTCTCTTACTTTTTACACATTGTTAACAAGTCTTTGTCCCTACTATAACCGGTTGGGCTCCGATGAGGCCCTGTTATTGCTGATAACTTTTAATAGAGACAAAGAGTAGAAAAAACGGGGATTTTAAAAATCCCTGTTATTACAGGGCCTGTTATATATGGTTTCCACTGTATAATTTTACTTTGTACTGTGCATTTTCTGTTTTCTTTGCATTTTTTTTTGTTTCTTCTGCTTTTTTTTCTAATGTCAAGGATGCCTCAGGATGAAATCTTTAAAAAAAATTATTATTATAGTAGAGGGTTTTACGGCCCTCCCAACTGCATAAGGTCATATGAGTGCCAAGGGGTGGGTGTCAACAGAGAAGTCTTTACAGGGAATCAGACTTATTCTGCTCACCTCTCTAGCTTCAACAGCACAAGGTCTGCTTCAACTATCAAGGTACTCCGGAAATAGCTGGTCACAAGAGTGACAAACATACAAAAGAAGTAGAGGAAAATGACAATAGTAAGGATTAGGAAAGAAAAGGCAGCAGTTCCCTGTTGTAGATCAGGCACAGTTATGATCGTGACATGAATCAGCCCATTCATTTCTACTGTGCTTGAACGAGAAATGTCACCCCTTTGGGAATGGCCTAAAGACACTACAGTCAGTGGCACTGCCCCGGGGGGAGGATGAAATCTAACACTCTTCTCAGCACCCACTACCCCACGCAGTTCCCCGCACGAATGACCTACATTGTATGGGATAGACTAAAGGCAATTTTACCCAAAGGCCTGTCGTTGAATGCGGCGTCATTTTCGTGGTTACGAAGTTCGCTAAACGAGGAAGCCTCTTCGAAGGAATCACACGAGTCGAAGATCCAGCGATGTGTTCGGGGCACCATCTTGGAATATCCTGTGCTACCGGAGGTAGTGAAGATCATGAAGACGTCATCAGGATCAACGTCCTCTACGTAGGTGTCACCAGAACCAGAAGTGAGTTCTTCCAAGACAGCGCAACCAGGGCTTTGGAAAAAAAGAGAAAGAATGATCAGCTTGTTGCTATCTATCTATCTATCTATCTATCTATCTATCTACCTGCCTGCCTGCCTGCCTGCCTGCCTGCCTGCCTGCCTGCCTGCCTGCCTGCCTGCCTGCCTGCCTGCCTACCTCCCTACCTACCTACCTACCTACCTATCTATCTATCTATCTATCTATCTATCTATCTATCTATCTATCTATCTATCTATCTATCTATCTATCTATCTATCTATCTATCTATAGGGCAGAGGGGATCTAAATTCTAAAGAGACATTAACTGTTAGACCTAATCTTACTTGTCTTTGCCCCTGGACACAAGAATAGCGGACGTCAGGTCTTGGGATCGGCTACATGACATGTCAGCAAACAATCCCGAGATGCTTCCTGTGACGTCACTTTTTAAAAGTCTCCAAGCCGGTTCGTTCTCTCGTGGGCAGACGATGACAGCTTTGCAGCGACTAGTTACAGCAGAAGAGAAGAAATCTTCTCCGTCTGCCAGAAGTATCTGAGGACGAGATTTGGAGAAACGCGGTTAAGAGAGAACGCTACTTGTTTACTTGTTTACCTGTGTGAAGGACCGACATCACTGCACAAGGGGCATTCCCATAAGTACTCCGTCCACTGAAGAAGCATATGACATCTCGAAGTGTGTAGATGCTGACGGTTCCAAGTAATGGTTGATTCCATAGCCTTCTACTCCTCCCACTAAGTCTTGAACTTCTGCAGGCGCCCCATCCTATTTCAAGCTCACGGAGTCTCTCATGATGATGGTATTCCGACTCTTCTTGTTCTTTTTCTCGTTTTTCCCTGACTGAACGTACAATGCCAGGTTTATCAGGGCACAGTTTCCCTTCTGGTCTTGCTTTCCCAACGAGCTCATCAGCCCGCTCATTGCCCTTGACTCCTGCATGGCCCGGGGTGGACATCCGCGTGATCTTTTTCAGTGATGTCTTCTTCAGGAGCTCTGTCCATTCTGCTCTAAGGTTTCCACTCTCAATCTTCCTCAGAGTGCTCTGAAAGTCGGTGACAAAGATCACATGTGCTTGTAGAGCTGTTGTGACCCACTTGAGAGCCTGAGTGATTGCCTCTATCTCCATTCTCATGCTAGATGTTGTCATGTCGTATGCTCTCTGCTGTTCCTGCACCAATCTGCCACTCACTCTTTCTGAGAAGCCCCATCCAGATTTTCCCCTCGATTAACAGATCCATCCGTGTATACAACCACATCTCTGTGCCGTGAGTTTTCTTCAATCACCCGTCGTATCTCAGCATCTGTCGCCCCCTGTGACCACTCTCTACATTCTCTGTTCAGCGTAATCACTACCTTCCCAAAATCTCCCTGCTATCTCTCATTCATCTTTATCCATCCTTCACCCCGCTTTATATCTTCCAGTGGGCAGACTTCCTTGATGATGTTTTCAGCCTCAGCCATCCTAGAAGGTCCTCATTTTAGGCGATTTCCCTTGATTACTCCAATGGCTTCGTGAAGTGGGTGTTGCTTATCAGCCGCCACCCTCATGTACGCCGTGACCTGAGCCACTTTGTGTCTTTTTCCCACTGACATGAGGCCCAATACATGCCTCATACAGATAATTGGCGTATCCCTGGTGCAGCCTAGTATGATGCGTATGGCTTCATTTTGAAGTCGATCCAACTTGTCCAGTTGGGTTTTTGTCAAGGTCAATACTCAGAGCCCATTATCAATTACTGCCAAGACCAGCTACTGATACATTAAGAAGCAGTAGCCTTTGTTCTATTCCCGAAGCCGCCATGACCTTCACTGAATTCAAGCCATTCTTTGCCCTTTCCACAACACCACCTATGTGATCTTTGAAGGATAGACAGCGATCCAAAACCACTCCCAGATACCGCATCTTCTGACATCTTTGAATATTCTGTCCATTTACCGTCAGCTCTGGGACATCTGTCTTTACCATTCGATTGTTTAAAGAGCACCACTGAACGCTTTCATTTGATGATGACGATGATGATGATGATGATGATGATGATGATGATGATGATGATGATGATGATGAAGATGATGATGATGATGATGGTGATGATGATGAAGATGATGATGATGATGATGATGAAGATGATGATGATGATGAATGAAAAATCTCACCTGTCCGTTTAGCGCCGTGCAACCCGCAAACATAATCCCCAGGTCTGTGATTAGCCGCTCTGGAGAATTTGGTAAAGTATTGGCAATGACGTCATATCGTTGGAATCCTTGCTGGTGTAACCACCAAGCAAAACGACTTGCCAGATCGTACACCTGTTTGGATGTGAAGGCTGTGCGTTCTTTACTGGTATAGAAGACAAACATTTCATTGTCTGGACAATTCTCACTGAAATACTGAAGTCTCTGGGGTATAGTTCTCAGGTGGTGTAAGCTGGAGTTGTTGGCCCCCATTTTCTTAGTCAGAATCTGGCGATAAAGCAGGTGAAAATGATCTTCAGCTCTTGGCTCTAGATATCGATGTCTGTTTGATCTGAAATGAAAAAAATAACAAGAAATACATTGGTGACACTATCACCATCATCTTCATAAAGTGTCAGATCTGAGGCAATCCTCAGCGATCATGGTTCTCCATTCATTCCTCTGCTCGGATGCTCTCAGAAAAGCTACATTATGTTGATCTTTCCCAAGAAGTTTGCTCTGAGTCTACCCCTACCTTGTTTGTCCTCAACCTTGCCAGTGAGGGCCAATACATTGGCGACAAGCTCCATGAAATTCCGACAAGACGAATAAACTAAAATGAATATTATTCCAACTGATCAGTAATTCTGATCTAATAAATTGTTCTAACATTGTTTTAAGATGCAGCTGTTCCTTGGAGCAATTGTATCCCTTTTTCTCACGAGTTTCTTTGTTGCATGAGCAACATCACATGCTGAGCCGTAGACATACTTTAACACCCCACTCTCTGAATAAGTCAGAAGCACATTACTTATAGAAATCTTCCAAAGAAAATGAGATGCTTTTAAAATTTGGTCATATTTTATGCCCATACTAACACAATCTAGATCATCATAAAAGAGGTTTGCTTCTTAGCTATCAGAACAAACTCTTTTGACACAATATGAGGTACTGAAAAAAACCCAACTGCATTAAACAATAGAATCACAAAAACGGCTGTACTGAGAATCGTATTCCAGATCAGATTGCTATATTGTATAACGGTAAACTTCATTTTTCTGATATAATTTTATGCCCAAAATATGCTCCATTTCATCACACACACAGTCATCTAAGAAATTTCCAGGTTCACAAAACAAATACCACCAAAAAAATCACCGAAAACCACATAGAAAGTGAGAGCTGAAAAGAAGGCTGCTTCTTGTGGGGCGATCACTACTCACACACTCAAATAATACAAAGTCTACACTTCGTCTTTGAGTAAAGAACAGCACATGGACAAAAGGATAACGGTTTAGTAGTGAAAAGGTAGGATAAACGTCCAGATATAAACTTACAGAGAAAGGAAAGAAAGAAATCCTACCAGTTGCCTCCTCCAACCACCAGCTGCTGCGGTTTATCATGAAACTAGAAAAACAATCTTGTCCATCACAGTGCTGCAAGTGTTTGTCATATTGAGTAATCTCTTTAACTCTTTGAGGACGTATTTTTGACAATGCTTGCAGACGAGATGTCTTTAGGGCATTTTCCGAAAGGAGCATTTCTCCGTCATTCTTTCAAACTCTTCACTTCTGTTTCCTTTATTTGAAATTTTAAAAGATCAGCAATAACACACGTATTATGAGCTAAGCAAATCCGCTTTTTAGATTTGTTCATGGTTGTTAGAAATGTCCAGAAACATGGAGTTTGGTCTGCTGCTGGTCGGGCAGATGTGTCCACTACGTCCTTGCAGAGTTAATATTGCTGTTGTCTTGTGGGGGGTCAAATAGAAACAGATTTGCGATCTTGACATTAAAACTTAGTTTTAAAATATCAAGAATGGATCACTACAAGTAAAACTATTAAGTTGAATATCTTCATGTACAGTTAGTACAGTGAAGTGGTGAATACGAAAACGTTAAAAGAAATCAAACTTAAGGAAACGAAAAGATGCAAACTGCATCTGTGTTCCTTTACCAGTAATAAAGTGTACAGATCTAATACGTTTCCCTAGGGATGTATTTTTAAAAAATCATCGAGGAAAATGTTTCAAAGGAATACAATCAGTAAAAACTGGATACGCTTTACAAAAAACACATTCATAAATGTCCACGGCATTACAGCTGAAGGCTACAACATTCACGAACCTTCCTCTTTGAGAGAACAATGAGAAAGCAATGTAAATGACACCTTACAACAGTGTTTGCCTTGCCTTCCTTTTACAAAAGCGTACACGAATCACCTATTTGTTTCCTTACTTCTATTGTCTTTGATAGGACAAACTGGCTGGAATTTTAACGCGTCTTGCTCCAGTCTCTGCAGTCACGTATTTATAGCTGTGTCAAGGGACCACATTACGCCCACATCACGTTCTAAATGACGGGGTTTGTAATCGCACGATGAACTGATCGTGTCATACCGAGGCCAGCATTTCGGTGAAGTTATAATTATTATTCGGGAAAAAAGAGGAAGGGGGGGGGTTTACAGTAACACGTGTGAGTGTGTGTATGTGTGTGTGTGGGGGGGGGGGGGGGGGGGGAGGGGGGGGGTAACACCCCCCCGGGGGGTTTGTTGTTTTTTTTTGGCGGGGGGGGGGGGGGGGGGGTCCAATTAAAAATTTAAAGGGGGGGGGCCCCGGAAAAATTTATTTAAAAACAAAATAAAAGGGGGGGGGGGGGCGTACAACTAAATACTTTTGGGGAAAAATAAGAGGGGGGGGGGGTGGTGGTAACAAAACAAAGGAGGTCCTTCTGGAGAGAAAAACAAATAGAACAACAGCAGCAAAGGAGGTGGTGACCCATGCAAGAAGCACCCTTCTCAGAGTCGCGGATCTACCTGTTAGTTGGTTGTTTTTAAAAAAATCAGTTTTCAAGAGTCTCCAGTTGAGCTGGGCGAAGAATCGATTCCTGAACCGATTCCCATGATTAATGCTACGGAAGAAAAGTTCCGACTCCTTTTTACGTAAACCAACGGTTTAATCTTTAATCAGTAAAATCAGTTGGTGGTTAGCGGGTGCTCTAGTGTGGTTTGCTTCTTCTTTCCTATCAAACATATGTCATCCTGATCTCTCCTCCTTCTTTTTGTGTTTGTTACTCTCTTGTAACACCTCTAATCTTCGGCACTTATATGACCTATTGCGCTCCAAGTCCCGTAAAACTCTTTCTACATCTAAACAGTAAATAAGTCTTTTTATTTTAAAGAATGTATTTTTTTTTTAAATTTGATACTTCGTAATGTTCCGAAATCAAGGTTACCCTAAATCCTGAAGAGGTTCGGAGCCAAACAGATAACCACCGGAAGAAAACACATCATTAGAAAGTAAGTAATTGGGTTCGGAGTCGATTCCTACGATTCCTAGCTTTCAATAATCGGGAACCTAGCCGCCCAGCACTAGTCCGGCCCCTTGGTGGAGTTTTCGTCAAGATGTTGGCATATTGGTTTGGTGTTTGTGTGTGTGTGTGTGTGTGTGTGTGTGTGTGTGTGTGTGTGTGTGTGTGTGTGTGTGTGTGAGAGAGAGAGAGAGCGAGAGAGAGAGCGAGAGCGATATATATATATATAGAGAGAGAGAGAGAGAGAGAGAGAGAGAGAGAGAGAGAGAGAGAGAGAGAGAGAGAGAGAGAGAGAGAGAGAGAGAGAGAGAGAGAGAGAGAGAGAAAGAGAGAGAAACAAGCCCACACATGCACTCACACCCATACACATAATTTGTTAATCCGATGGGGGTTCAAGAGGACGTTGGTATAAATATGAAGGAATAAAGATAGAGCTTTGTAACTTGGCACACATACTTTAATTTTTCTACATAGTCGCCGTTCCGAGTTACACATTTCTGCCACCTGTCTTTGACGTTCAAAAGTCCCTGAGAGAAATATGACCCAGAATGGGTCCCAAACCAGTTTTCGAAAGCTTTAATGGCGCCCTCGTTGTCATGGGAACGACGTCCTTTGAGTGATTTTGTTTTAGATTAGGAAAGAAAAAAGTTTGAAATGGCTAGGTCTGGTGAATGAGCGGGGTGTGGCAGGATTCCAAAGCCGCACTGTTCTGCTGTCTGGACTGCTTGCTGTGCCCTGTGCGCAGGGGCATTGTCATGCAGTAGGAGGACCTTATTACGGAGTTTTCCACACCTTTTTCTGACCAATTCGACCCACAATTTTATTATCAAACCCGAGTGGTAGTCCCCCGTGATTGTTTTTCCATTTTCCAGGAAGTCAGTCATAATGATACCTTCACAATCCCAGAAACACGACAGAATGACCTTTCCACTTCACAGTGTTACCTTTGCTTTCTTTGGTGAGGGGGAAGAGGGGGTTGTCCATTGCATGGAGGACATTTTTGTGTTGAATCCATGTTTCATCCATAGTCACCATGTTTTTAAAGAAATTTGTGTCATTGGACCCAATTCGAAGGAGAGTTTTGCATGACTCAACCCTCTGCTTCTTTTGCTCACTTGTCAAAAGGCGGGGTACCCACCACGCCGACCCCTTATTCATGTTAAGATGGTCTGGGAGAATCGTTTCAACTGACCCTACACTGATTCCTGTTTCATGTGAGAGCTGTTTAACAGTTATACGTCGTTCTTGTAAAACCAGTTTCTTCCCTATGGATACATTCTCTGCAGTTACCACAAAGGATGGGCGCCCTTCACGATCCTCTTCCATCACCAATATGAATCCAGATTTGAATTTTCTTACCCAGTATTTCACAGCATTAAAACGAGGACATTTGTCCCCACAAACTTGGAGCATTTTCTGAAAAAACTTGATAACTGAGCGATATTCAACAGGCTCCATGGCACAGCTTCAGCAAAGAAAAGCCAATCGTTGTTGTGCATGGTTTCATTGAGGACGCTGACTAGTGCCTTACTATTGTCAGATTTTCCAGTAAATTAGCACGGTGTGTTCCAAAGAAATTGTCTTAAGGCTGGCGAAATTTCATTACTCTACCATTATTCCTTCATACCGAGACCAAAGACCTATTGAACCCCCCCCCCTCTCGTACACTGTTTCACACTTTCGTTTTCTCTTCCACATACATATATGGACGTACACACATAATATCATAATGTGCTTGCATCTTATTATTTATTTCTAACAAATGATAGAGTTTCAACTGATGCTAGAAAGACTTAATTGGTGGGCTGGAAAGGTCACTGACCTCTTAGACTAGATGAGTGCAGAATCATATTATCACATTCTCACAATGTATATTATGCATGTCACAAACAGCTTTGTCATCATAGGTTCGCAAGCCCGCTGAGTAAACATGCTTCTTGACAAGAAAGGCTTTGTTACAAAACGCGTTATATCAAAACACATTTTTTTCCCAAGCTGAGAAGGCTTTTTATCTTCGTACACCCACACTGCATTCAAGAGAGGCGCCTGCTCTGGCCTTATTTAAATTTGTTCTAAAATCACACTATTTAACATCCCGTTTTATTAACTAGTCTGACTCTTCCTCCAACATCAAGTGTGATCAGTAGCCACAGTAATTGTCGGTTTGTGTATGTTTTAGATTACGGGTGTACATGTACATTGTATTCGAAAGAATTGTTGTATGTCGAATTTGCCAGTCTATGAAATGTTGATTTACATCTTATTTTATTGCTATGCGCCTGGAGCCACCAAGGAGTGGGTGCGATAGAAGTGGTCTTGTTCTTGTTCTTGTTCTTGTTCTTCTTCTTTTTCTTCTTCTTCTTCTTCTTCTTCTTCTTCTTCTTCTTCTTCTTCTTCTTCTT